TTCAGGATTCTGTGTTCAACTTAACCGAGGAGCAAGAGCGATGGGTTATGGGCATTATGCTCTCAGTTACTCTGGTGAAACTACTCTTAATGCTTTATTGCCGGGCTTTTACCAACGAGATAATCAAAGCATATGCTCAAGATCATTTCTTTGATGTAGTCACCAACGCAATCGGCCTTGTGGCTGCTCTTCTTGCTAATTATATAGCTGGCTGGATCGACCCTCTTGGAGCTATTATCGTGAGTGCAAGCTCTCTCTCTCCATATTGTCCATTACATGCTGTTGTATGTTGACCTTCAGTATTCATATTTGCTGAATTTGAAACTCCCTTAATAGCATATCTAGTTTAATGTGCATCTTGGTTATAAAGGTCTAGAACTTCTGATACATATACATACAGCCCCACGAGAATGAGCTTTTTTTTTTTTTTTTTCTATTACCATTATAACCTTTACATTTCTGTGAGATCTCATATCGGTTGGAAAGGGAAACGAAGCATTCCTTATAAGAAGAGGGAAACCTCTTCCTAGCAGACGCATTTTAAAATCGTGTGGCGGGCGAAAGCATACAATATCTGTCAGTAGTGGATTTGGACTGTACAAATGATATCAGAGCCAGACATTGAGCGGTGTGCTAGTGAGGACACTGACCCTAAGGGAGGCAGATTGTGAGATCCCATATTCATTGGAGAGGAAAACGAATCATTCCTTATAAGGATGTGGAAACCTCTTCCTTGCAGATGCGTACTAAAACTATGATGCTGATAGCGATACGTAAATGGCCAAAGCGGACAATGTCTACTAGCGGTGGGCTTGAACTTGGACTGTCACAATTGGATAAATGGAAAACCACAAAGGTTTTGGTCGAAAATAATATGTAGCACCCGAATTTGTATAACTGATTATCGTTCTTCATTTTAGTTTCTAATCTTGTCAACTTCATAGAAGTTACCCATGTTGATTCAGTGTTCTCTGTAAATTGCTGCAGCTGGCTTTGTACACTATACGAACATGGTCGATGACGGTATTGGAAAACGTGAACTCCCTTGTCGGAAGATCTGCTGCCCCCGAGTACCTACAGAAGCTCACTTATCTATGTTGGAACCACCACAAGGCCATCAAACACATTGACACAGTTCGAGCATATACATTTGGATCACACTACTTTGTCGAAGTCGATATTGTCCTGCCCGGAGACATGCCATTGGAAGAGGCTCACGACATAGGTGAATCACTGCAAGAAAAGCTCGAGTTGCTACCAGAAATTGAGAGGGCATTTGTTCATCTTGATTACGAGTACAAGCATAAACCAGAGCACGCACAGGCACAGTTTTAGAACAAGGCACAAACATGGTGATTTCTTCAACTCTACAATCCCGCATGTTCATTTATGTTGTAGTAAAACTGCAATAACATCGTTTTCTGTCTTGTAAATTTGTTCCTGATTCTATCCATGATCTCAGAAAATTTGCCCATGCGTTCAAAATTTGAAGCAAGCGGAGGGGCATGATCTCATATATTAGATTTGAATATCTGACAAAGTTGAATATAAAACTTATTTTATTCCTGTATATTTTTAAATAGATTGATTAAACAAAATATCTACTTTCAAGGCGGAGGGGCATAATTGGAATTTACTCCATATAGATATTTTATTTTGGTTGATTAGTCTTGTTTTAATGTGAGGGAATCCATATATGTGAGATTTTTATAACTTAATCAATATTAATTAATCATTGATATAAATATATATTATTTAAACTTATTAAATTTTAATTTTTACATTTATAATCAATATTAGTTTTAATTAATGTTTCATGTAAAAATATTTTTTTATTTTTATTTGAATTGATTAATTAATTAATTAAGCTCTACATTATATAATGATAAATATAATTTATAATAACAAAAATGGTTCTCTTACATTTAATTGATTAATTATAATTTTTATCAATGAAAATAGACCTATATTATATTAAAAATATAATTTTCAATTAATTAAGAGTAAATAGATCGATTTAAAATTCAATTTCTGAAAAAAAAATATTCTATATCGATGTGAGAGGATCGAAATAGTGCATAATTAGATTATTGTGTCGCAAATTATTATATAAAATTAAAATATGGATATATTTGTATCATTAGTATATAGATGGATGAGAATTTTATTTATTTGGATTAATTGGTGCATTTATGTTTCTTGTTTTGAAATTAATGTTTTTTTTTTTTTTTTAATGTAATACAATATTGTCAGATTTTGTGCCATTATTTGAAGACATTATTGACAAAATACCTGCCCCAAACAAGAGAAGTGTCCCATATCGGGTTGTGACCCCCTTTTCGAGTGTCGGTATTTTAAATATTGTCGTTGAAAGAAATTTTACGAGATTTAAATTTTATAAAAAATAAATATATTAATCATGATAAGAGATCAAAATCGTTCAAGATGGTTCTAATCAATTATAAAAATGAAAAATTCACCTTGATATTTAAATTAAAATTAGAAGTTTAGTAAACTAAATATTTAATTATGTGTCTAATAGTTTCGTAAATTTTTAAGATCGACACAAAATTAAAAAAATTAAATACTTATTAAATATAAAATAAAAAATTTAAAATTCTATTCAAAATAATAAATTAAAATTTATTTTTGTATTTTATTTATACTTTGTTATATTTAATAGAATATCCTTCACAATCCATGAAGATAAGGAATTTTTTTTTCATATAAAATTTAATATCATATGTCACTTTACTTTTTTAATTTTTGATAAAAACAATTTATCACCTAATTTTAAAAAAAATTATATTTTGTATGTTGTTATGTCATATTAGTTTCTATCTTTTAACTTTATTATATTTAAAATTCTAAAACATATTTATTTTTTTTATTTTAAAAAATATATTTGATCCATTAGGAGTCTTATTTAGGATATTTAATTTGAATCAATCCATTTATTACCATTTTATTTAATAAATAGAGAAAAATATATTAAAAATTATCCATTTTATTTAGAAGGTCAGGGTTCCATCAAATTAAAAGAATTGGCATGTATTAATAATTAAATTGCATAATTAGAAAAATCAAGAACGTTCAAGTACTTTAATATTAAAATCTCTAAGGTGGATTAAAACGACCTTCCATATTGATATGATATTGTTCGCTTTGAGTATAAATTTTTATAGTTTTGATTTTGTTTCCCCCCAAAAAAACTTATATCAATGGAGATGTGAGATCCACATTCATTATAGAGAAGAACGAAACATTCCTTATAGGAGTGTGGAAACATCTCCCTAGTAGACACGTTGTAAAACTGTGAGACTGACGACGATACGTAACAGACCAAAATGGACAATATATGTTAGTGGTGGGCTGCCTGCTTGGACAGAACATAATGTTTAAGACCTAATTCAACACCTATTCGACCTTCTACAAAGTATCTGTAGGAGGCTAAGCTGTTAAACATATATTTTTACGGTTAATACGATTCTAGACTTTTCATATGGCTTGAATTGGATACAAATACAATAAATATTTTTGTTAAAAATTAGCGTAAAGTCTAGAGCGGGTTGTTATTCTACGAAAATTGATGTTTTCATTTGGATGTTAGCTACGTTTTTATAAACGTTCAAATACTAGGGTTTCTATTAACTTCGATAGTCAAAATATATTTATCTTTAGTAAGTAATAGAGTTTTATTATATATTTACAAAGAAAAATGATCCTTAATTCAGTTTTAATAAAACTTTAAAAAGGAACTAATTTGGTATAAAAAATATTCTTTTTTTAAAAAAAAAAAAAAAAATTACTAGAATATGCTAATAATAATAATGGAAAATAATGACAAAATAGAAAAGGTTACACCAGTGGTTGCGTGTGCAACTTCAACACCCCCATTCATTCCCTGGGCCCCACATACTCTTCCCAAAATTTTCTTCTAATTACTCTTTGGACCACTTTTGAAAGTTCCCTTCGATTTTGACCCCTGTTCTTCTTTTTGTTTGCATTCTTGCCCCCGAAGTACAATTATGTTGGACGTTAAATTAAAGGAGTAATCATTAATTAATTACGTCTTAACTTTAAAGGAAGATGTTTAGCTTTTTATAAACAAAGTGATCAATAATTAGATAATATTACGTCACTTCACTTTAATTGATAAAATTACTTGGCCTGTGATTCAATTAATTTGACTTTTTCTGTTTAATTATTACTTAGATTAAATCTTACCATTTGTTTTAATTTTATCCAAATTTATTTGAATATATATATATCTATATATATACATTTATTTATTTATTTTCATATTTTAATACTCTAAATTAATTAATATAGTAAAATGCAACCTTCAGAATAGAATATTTTAACTTTTAGTGTCAATTTCAAGTTATATTATATTATTAGGAGGTTTGTAATTTACTAATAAATCTTTTTAATAAATAATTAATAAACTTTTAATAACTCAATTATATATTTGATATTATTTAATTATTTAAAATTTTACTGATATTAACGTTTTAATTTGGGTTTTATTAGTTTGTAAATTTTTAAAACCACAATTAGATGACTTATTTATGTCAATTAGGCATAAATCAATCAATTAAAATTTTATAGATTTATTAATTATGAAATTTATTTAATTTTTAAAAATTGCTAACAAGATGTAAATGTGGAGTTGAATATTAATTGTCCACGTGGATATATATGATGGACACGTAGGTAACCGTAAACCTAGGTTTACCTGTAAGCAAGAAGATGGGAGAGGGTAAATGGTGGTTGGTGAGTTGGCCGTGGGGTTGTGATTTTGTCGGATCTGGAGGTGAGGGCCCACAGATCACGTGGTAAGGAGGCTCAAAATGAGACAAATGATTGGTCATTCAGGAATCCCATCTGCACCAATTATCACCGAGCGCCCACGTGGTACGCTGCTATTGGTTGACCCCACCAGTCCTATAAGCACAACGCTTTCACCTCTCCATTGCTGCCCGTCGGTGTAGCGTTATCAAATCCCTTTTCGCTAAATGAATCTATATATATTTGAGCGCAGATGGGCGTAGTGCATATAAATTCAGATTTCATGGCTGATTCTTCTGCTGCTTACATTCATATGGTAACCATTCATTTCCTTTCATGTTCTTTATTACTAACGCCTATGACCGTTATTTTTGTTCACTTTTAGGTGCAATACTTGATCGAGAACTGCTTGATCTTCCACATGAATAAAAAGGAGTGCATAGAAGCTCTTTCCAAATACGCTAATATCATCCCGATAATCACTGAAACTGGTTCGTTCCCATGTTTCTTTCTTTTCTTCCCCCCATTATCATTGTTTCAACATGGCTAACAATTGTGCATTGTTCGGTATAATTGAGAGCATTTGCAAATGTAATTCGAATCTGTATCAAATGGTTATTAGACGACATACTGATTTTAAAAATCAACGATCCATTAGATAATTTATTATTATTTCTTTCTTTCTAACAGTGTGGAAAGAATTGGAGAAAGAAAACAGAGAGTTCTTTGAAGCTTATTTAGAATCTCGTAGCAGGAATGATAGAATACTAGCTGAAAAAGAGACACGACAGTTGATCCAACGGATGATGTCTAAACATACTGACAATTAGGTGATGACTAGGTGACTGATCCATACACATGCATGCACCAATTACCTTTAAACATTTCACACGTAATTCCCATCATTCTTAAATATTTCTTTTATGTCAAACTGTGAATGAATTTTTTTTCAACTAATTATGTTGACTTTACAATACGATAACCAAAGGGTAGTTTTGTAATTTGCTCATGTTCGGTATTGCCACATGGCAAGTGATGATTAGATTCAAGATGTTGCTGCGTTTAAATTCAAATTTGCTTGCTTCTACTCTGAATTTAAATTGTCGTCCATGAAATGTTTTTTTGTTATTAAAATCTTTTGAAATGGATATTAGAAATTAAAACTTTTATTCTTATTCATGGGGCGTTTTAAAAAACAAAAAAAGAAATAAAATCTTATCTAATAAATATCTTAAATATATGGTAAATTTAAAATTAATAATTACATCAATTTAAAATTTAAAATTTTATTACTAAATCAAATTAGAGATGTCTACGGGCAGGTCGGGAGCCTTCCTCCTCCCTACCACCTAGAAAATTTTTATTTATTTTGGGATGATCTGATCATGAATTTCTTACCGTAAATTTGTAAATATTGGGTTTGTGTTGATAATTTTTTCCTGTTTATTATTCTTTTAAAAAATATAATTATTTTAAAGTTTTTATTTTATTAAAAAATTTGTACTTAATTTCTAAAAATAATCTTCAATTTAATATTTTGTTTAAGTATTAAATTAAGGTATAAAATTAACTAATTTATTTTTTAATAGAGCAAATATATATATATGTATATATGATTTTAATCCTAAATTTCAATTTAAAATTGTTAATTTAGTAGCTCAATGTCAAATGTCGGGTTGTGGGAAATGTGGCCCAAATCCAGTCCTCTGCCTGTTGGACGTTCTTCTTCAATCACTAATTCACAACTAAAACCTCTCTGCAATCAATTTTGATGGGTGTGGTATCAGTTTGTTGGTTTAGTCATGCACGTATTCATATTGAGAGCTCGTCGTAATATGATTGAAGGTGTTAATATAACACATGCAAAAGCAATTTGGATCTTAGACACTTTTAGAACATCAATTATAGTAAATAACTAGCATGTTCATAAGTATAAAAATTTAATGAGTTTGAATACTAACATTTTGTAGTTCAAATTCTTTTTTTCTCACGAACCGATTTCGAACCACCACTAGTGTCTTCTCCACTATCCTCCGACTTTAGAACGGGATTGTGGAATCCAGTGAGTGACTAAACTTGGGAGAGATTTTGTATACATGAAGAGAGTGTTTGTGAGAGGTTTTCCACCAACAAGAATCACCTTCCATGTTCCATGATCACTCTATTTATAGAGTCGTGTTTGCATATTCATGCAAATTTGAGATCACCAAATTTTGACACTCAAAATTCTTACTCAAATGTTTGAGATTATGTGGCAAACATGCATGCTTGAGTTAACCAAATTTTGACCCTCAAAATTCTACTCAAATTGTTGGGTTTATTTTGCAAACATGCAAGTTTGGTTAAACTAAACTAAATGAATCAACATTTTGACTTTCTTCCTTTTGATTTTATAATCAATTTGAATTATTAATTTCAAATTAAAGTAAAATGATTAATTAAACTATAATCATTTTGATTCTCAGATTATTTCTTTTTACTTAATTCATAAATAAAATAAAAATGCGGTTAAATATATCGTATATATGTAGCGCATTCTCCCTAATTTGACTTCGAACTTACTCGTCACACTCTTCTATAGTTTAGTCCGTTATGAACTAGCAGAGGAACCTAATGGACCTACAGATTATGGACTCCAACAATCCAAGATTAACCGGTTAAACTCATTAATCTTGTTAACCAACATTCGTTAACTACTAGGACATTCCACTATAGCCTAGTAGTTGCACTCCCCTCGCTATAGGTATATTTCTGTCCATTTGATATAACCATGATTAGTAAGTAATCCTTCACAAGTTGTTCGTAACTAGAGCTGGGTCAATTTACCGTTTTACCCCTGAAGTTACTCCTTGTTTCTTATGTCTCACTGATCCTTTAATGAATAATTGGTTTGTGGTTCAACCAGTAAACCGGGTCCCTCTCAGGCCAATGAGAGAGTGGAGCCCCTTGTTCAAGACCTGGAGTTAGTACTTAAAGGAACTACCTCTCTTCTATCCCTAAAAGTGGGTAGGAGTGAATTCCATCTTGCACCCCACGTCCCCATCCATTTACCCAGTCTTACCCCTGAAATGGGAGGCCTATTGAGTTGGCGAACTTGAGCCACTCTCACCCATACAAATCTAAGGATAATTCCAAATAAACAGGAGTTCATGGTTAGCTCAAGATTAAGATCGAGTTACCTAGGTCATCGAATGAAAAGAAAATCAGTCTCAACAGTAAACAACATTATAAAGTGAGAGTGATTTTCTTCATGGTCCGATCTTATGCAATACTCATTGCATAGGACGCCCCCACTCACATGTCTCCACATGTACAATTTTAGTGATCATATTGTTTATATCATATACAAAAGTGGGCCGCATCCATAGTGTCCCCAGAATAAGATACTGAGCCTTATCCTTATACTATACATCATTTTGACTATATACTTGAACTTGATCAACTCTTATATCTCTACATATAGTTCAAGTAATCATACTATAGCTAGAGTGTCCTTAGTTTATTGGATTTAGATTAATGATAGTAAAATTCACTTTATTCAATAACAATCTTTACGAAATAAACAACCATAATAACTCTATTGAAAATAGAATATGTTTTTGTTTACAAACTATGAATTTTAGGACATAAAACCCAACAATAATAATGGTGTTGAAGCTACCAAATCCTACCCTCGATATTAGTTTAGGTCCCAACGACCGCACATTGTGTCTCGAACCTCAACCAATTACACATAACTTGCCTGAGTTCAATTTGAGTGATGGAACTTGTCATTATACAATAACATACTAGTTTAGGTTCCAATGACCCCGAGTAGTGGCTCAAACCTCTAGACGAACCATACACAACTTCATAGAGCTGAACTCAAGCGACGGTCGAGAGTATTTACATAAGGGCGGGGGAGAAAAATACCCCATTTTATTGAGACATAGTGATATAATATAAGTACCGTCAATGATGAGGCAAAGTAAAGTGCTAATACACCATTTTATTGAGTCACAGTGATACAGTTGTATCGAGGCATAGGAAAACAGGACAACCAACGTCCAGTGCTGTTCATAACTTGGGATGAAAACATGTCCTGGTTCAAGCAGCATTCACCTTGGTCTCCCAACCAGCAATTACATGTTCTGGGACAGCCTTCGTCTTCACGAACGATTCTCGAGCGAAAAGCAACTGCACAACAAACAAACCGACCATTGTATGCTTTCCCAATTCAAGCTAATTCACTAGAAAAATTTACATTTTTGGTCCCTTTAGTTTTCTCGGGCTCAAATATTTGAGTTTGAATACTTCTCTTTTCTTTATTATGATCGAACATATGTCGAACCTGATAGTTTCCAACTCCAAGAAACTAGATGAACAAACTAAGGGGAGTAGTTTCATTGAACCCGTTCATCTACACTTAACATAAGAACAAATTTTATCCTAGGAAAGCTTGTTGTAGCAGAAGCGGAAACAAGATCGATTGCACTCACACACCCACACCCACACCCACAAACATAAATAATCAAAGAAACACAAAGATTTACGTAGTTTTGAGAGAAGAAATTCCCCACATCCACGGATGGTAGCCAATCACTATGATCAAAGTGTTTATAAGTGTATTTCTCACACTACAAAATCTCACTTGGAGAACTAAATGCAAAACGATACTAGCTCCACCTCTCACAACAATGCTAGACAAACCTTTATATAGACATATCGATACTAATTCTCATATATGAATTAAGATGATTCATGTGTCAATACGGGAGATGAACTAAGTGAATCCAATATGTAGATGAATCGAAGTGGGTAATGTATCAAAAGTATTCACGACAAGCTATCTAACGCCAGTGTTGACTAAATCGTACCTTTTTGTATGCGGATAAACTCGATAAGTTTTCGGGGAAAACCCACTTCTTGAAATGGCCAAGAGCAATATCAATATGGTACAATTTTGGTGCCAGACTCAAATCAACAGCAGTTACTTTTTCAATATCAATATGGTACAACTTTGGTGCCAGACTCAAATCAACAGCAGTTACTTTTTCCCCAGCAACATAAGGACCCTGACACCATTGGGCATTGCCAAAAATGAGAAGGGTCAAACCATAAACATTTTAATGTAGTTGTTCATATAATACACACACATACATGAGCCTTAAGATGCTCATCCAACGCCTTCAACTCTTCAAGCAAAGCCTGCTCTGAACCATCAGTGGGGTCCTTGCTCAACAAGAATTTTACAAAAGCACCGTTTATCTTTGATCCCCTGTGAGCCCAAGTAAAGAAGAGGATATTTGTATCAGAGACTCAGAACCAAATCATGAGGTAACACAATTGGCCAATGCCATGTCCGAGTACTGAATTGGGCAATACTATTAAGAAAAATAAGGCATACGCTTCGTAATGGCACATAAAGGCCGAAGCCCATCGTTAGCAATTCTTTGGGCTTTCCCTTTCAGGCTTACCTTCAAGGTTTTTAAAACGCATGTATTAGAGAGAGGTTTCTACACATTTAGAAGGAATACTTCGTTCTCCTCCCCCGTCGATGCGGTATCTCAGAGTTAATGTAACAGCTCAAGCCAACCGCTCGCAAATATTGTCGTTTTTTGACTTTTCCTTTTCAGCTTTTCCTCAAGATTTTAAAAGTTTGCTAAGGAGAGGTTTTTTTACCCTTGTAAGGAATGTTTCATTTCCCACTCCAACCAATGCGGGATCTCACAATCCACCCCTTTAGGGGGCCAGCGCTCTTGCCAACACACCGCCCGGTGTTTGGCGCTGATACTAAATGCAACGGTCCAAGCTAACTACCACCACATATTGTCCTCTTTAGACTTTTCCTTTTTACAATGTTTTAAAACGCCTAGCTAGGAAGAGGTTCCACTGCACTCTTATAAAAATATTTCGTTCTCCCCCATCTTGAATAAGGCACAAACTTACACAGAAGAAAATTGAGGAGGAGTAACAAGAGAAGGGTCTGGATACTTCTCCTCAAGAATCCCCACAATGACATCAGAATCAGGAACCCATTTGCCATCAAACTTCACAACAGGCACCTTCCCTTCTGGGCTCACTTCCAAGAACCTGCCAAAATCATCAACAATCAACACACAATCCCATTTGCTTTCAACCCAAATTTCGAGATATTACCAACTGGGTTTGTCGGAGAGATTGACAAGAAGCAATTTATAAGCAACTTTCTTCTCCTCTAAAGTTAAAAGAACCCTGTGGCAGAAAGGGCCTACAACAAAGGGAAAACAAAAATCAAACAAAATTTTGCTGAGAAGATGAAAAAAAAAAGGGGAAAGAAGAACATACAGTCTCCAAGAACATCGGGGGCACCAGTAGCAGCCTTGACAACAACCTCAATGGCCATTTTCTGATCGAAGGGGCAGGTGGGGAGCTTTGAAACGGGAAATCACAGAAGAAACAGAGGATGTGAGTGAGGAGTGAGTGCGGGAATTTGGGTATATATTTAAGTTATGTGGTATCAATTCCCATGGCGGGACGGTGAAATGATAGGAAGAGGACAAGAATTCCATAGCCCTCAGACAGGAATTTGGCATCTCGAGAGATTTGATCGATAAGATGCAGGGGATTCCTCTCAAGAAAAAGTATAGAAAAAGGAATTTTCTATATGGGGCTTCGAATTAGCCATACAGGTGTGTGCATCGTTTCATTTTCAGCCCACCCCACCCATATACCGCACAAAAATAATTTAAATATTAAGAACAAGAACAAGAAGGAAGAAAATCTGCATATTTTGACCTTCGAATATGATCCGAAAATCAGCCCACATCTATTTAGAAACATTATCGCTGATTGGGGAGAAAAAGATTGTAATAGAGCTTTGGTGGTGCTGAAATTGATTTGATTTAGAGATTTCGAGTAAATGGGTCGATTTCAATTTTTTGCAGGGTCGGACCATAAGAGGGTGGAAACATCTTGTGAGATCCCATATAGGTTGAAGCGGAGAGCGAAACACACTTTATAAAAGTGTGAAAACCTTTTCCTAGCAGACGCGGTTTAAAAACTTTGAGGGAATCCCGAAAGAGAAAACTCAAAGAGCACAATATCAATATCTGCTAACGGTGCGCTTGGGCTATTATAAATGATATTAAAGCCCGACACTGAGTGATGTGTCAGCGAGGAGGTTAAGCCCCGAAAGAAGATAGATTGAGAGTCCCACATCGATTGGAGAAGGGAACGAGTGTCAATGAGGACCTGGTCTCGAAAGAGGGTGGAGGGCTATGAGATCCCACTGGTTTGGGAGGAACTGGGAGTCCCACATCGATTGGAGAATGGGAACGACCCCGAAGGAGAAAAAACAAATTAAAAGCAAACTTTGTCATTAAATTTGATATTAATTAAAACACCATAACATAACATTTCATTAAAATACATAAACACGACAACCAAACAGCAAACCTCAAATCCCAAATCACTCCGAGAGATAAACACTAAAATGAACAATAGTATCCACACCGTCCGTTGTGTGCTGATCCACTTCATGATGAAGCATCTCCACCGTTGCATACCCTCTAGCATTCTCATACTTCCCCGTCCCTCCTACCACCGCAATCTGCGAGTCCTTCGCTGCCGTCCGATGAACCCCAAAGAAGCTTATACTATCCTCAGCCACGTGCTCATGCCCACCGCCGTGAAACAAAGCCGTCAGAGCCACAGTTTGACTAGTCCCATCCAACGAGCTAGCCAAGTAAAAACCTTGCGCACGCCCCACCACAGCTGACCCCAGCTCGTGGCTTTCGGTCAGCTCGTCGTCGACCACGGTGACGGAGCCGAACATGAGCTGCTGAAGGGTGACTCTAGATGGGAGCTGGCCGGCAGTGACAAAGGGCTGGCTGTCATCATCGCCGTTGAGGATGCCGTTGTTGGCGCTGTTTTGGAGGAGCAAGTTGTTCCCTTGGGAGGCGCCGTTGAAGCCGGCAAGGAAAGGGAGGTTGTTGTTGTTGTTGATGATGTTTTTAAGGTTGTCGTTGTTGAGTAACGGAAGTGTTCCTTGGATTGGGAATAAGTTGTCGTTGGGCTTTGAAAATGCGAGGCCACTGTCGTCGGAATTCGCGATGACTCCGGTCACTACTCTGGCGGATGGATGGGACCCTCCCAGGATGTCGTGCATGTAAAATGAAATTGGTTCGGTGCCCGTTACCCCCACCGCCGCCGCCGCAGCCGGAAGGGGCTTAGTTGGAGGTGTTGATGTGGTGACAGCGGCGGCTGGAGTAGCTGAATTGTCATCTTCTTTATCATCGTCCGTTGGCCCTTGATTGTTTGCTGCTGCTACTGGTGGGTTGGTTTGGGGTACTGCGGTGTCGTCATCTTCCTCGTCGTTGGTGGCGGCCGGAGTTGGAGTGGTTGCCGGAATCTGGCTCCCCGTGGTCGACGGTAGCGTAGTTATTCCCACCTGAATAAAATACAATTGAAAGTAACACCAATTAGAAGATATTCTTCATAAAAATTACAATTTTGAAACTCTCATAAGTATTTAATTAGAAAAGAAAAAATTAAATTAATAAAAATACTCATAAAACATTAAAATTTGTATTTATTAAAAAAATGTCCATAAATTTTCAAAAGTTTAAATATTAATATATATACATTTCTAAAAGTTTAAAAACATATTTATCTTATTTTAATTTTTTAAGATTAATATTAATATTCTTAAATCTTTATAAAAATTAATTTTTAATATATTAAACCTCTATCTATCTACCGATAAAATATTTTTCTTTAAAAAAGAAACTTTTTAAAACTTATTTTCTAAAAAATTAAGGATATTAATGTGTAAGAAATGTTTTTAAAAAATTTAAAGTAATTTTTAAAGTTTTGAAAATTATTTAAAGGTATTAATGAAATATTAAAGTATTAATGGCTATTATCAAACAAAAATGCAAAATTTCATATTTTTTATTAATTTAACCCAAAAAAAAAAAAAAAAAAAAAGTGGGTAAACGTAGTGGCATTGATGGAAACCTGGGTTGCCGGCGAAGTGGCAGCCGGTGCAGGGATGGTGGAGAGAGGAGGAGCAACCGCCGCCGGTTGAGGCAGAGACTCGGCGTCGACTTCGTCATCCATCAAAAGTCTGGCAGATGTGGAAGATCTGAGACTACTGAAACCCAGGCACAAAAAGACGAAGAAAAAGAGAGGAATTTTAGCCATTTTCTTTTGTGTTCTTTCAGAGAAGAGAATTTGATTGAGGTTTGAAAGATTTGGATGAAGAAGAAGGTGAAGGCTTGTGGGGTTTTATATTATTCGAAGTTGAAGGCAGTTTATTGGAGCTGGTAATTAATGATTAAACATAAAATGGAGTTGGTTTTTGGTTCTAATCCCACCTAAACCTCCATCAAAGTTTGTGTTGGGTGGAAAATGGATTTGTTCAAACTTCTCAATTAACGATACCCAAACCTAAATAAGCTACGAAAAATATATCAATTACTCGAGAACAAGAGAGTAGGTGGAGTGAGTTGAAGATTTGCTTTAACTTGCAAGCTTGTGAACGTTGAATCCAAAAATACTAATTATGAGAGATCGTAAAATAATAGTCGGAGTGTGTTGAGTATTTACCATGCACCAAGTTACCAAAAATATATTCTCCTATTTTCACCTCACTTTTATATATATAAAAAAATTCTTAATTTGTATGGAGGGTTATTTGGTAATTATGTTATTTTCAATTTTGATATGTGATTGTAATATTTACGTTAAAAATTCAGGTATAACATTATATTATATTTTAAATTATAACATATTATTGTACATTTTATTAATAGAATTAAGTTGGAAAATGAATTATCATTAATGTTTTGAAGAGGAAAAAAACTTTATGGTTGAAAAGTATTAATAAATCACATTAAAATATATTTTGCACATTTTAAAATTACTTTCGAGGTGAATTGGAAACTAAATTATTTTTAAGTACAAAATTTAATATATCATATAAAATTATAATATATTATACTATGGTGTTTTAATTTAACAAAAAAAAGTTGAATTTACAATGTGTTTATTAACTTTTTTTTTTTTTTTAATCTTTTTAAATATAATTTTTCATTTTAAAATTGTTATGTTTCGTTTGTTTAAATTATGATTGAGTTGACACGTGTTTTAAATAATTCATGCACAATTCTAAACTTCAACAAAATTACAAAAATTTAAAATAACTAGATTTCTTATTATTAATGGTAGTTTTTTCCGTTAAAAATAATCACTTAACATAATTACCAAAATGCCCCCATGCCACCAAATACACTATTTGCTCAAGTAAACATTCAACTCTATGAACTTGTTATAATTTGCTCCGAACCTTGTTCTAAATGATTTCTTCAAAGTTGCATATCCATTGGCACCAAGGTACATGCCCATGCCACCGATTATCGTAATATGAGACTCTTTCACGTGATTACTCTTATACACGCCAAACATTTTTAACCCATCTTTAATCTCACCCTTACCAAGATACACCCTCATAGCTATCATAGGCTCACCACTATTTTCGTTGTTTTCTACATACAACCCTTTTATTCTCCCAACAACTACATGTGATTTACGATTCGAAGTTCTGAACAACTCTTCATCAATCTCTCTCACAATTCCGTACTCTAACTCTTGGAGAATCGCTCTAACAGGAAACGATATTCCAATTGTGGATAGATCAGATGTTTGAGCAGATATTTCAGTAGTAGGAGATGTCGTCGTCGTGGTGTAGACTTCAGGTATAGGAATTCCTCTACTGGGGAGAAAAAACCCCAAGGGTTTTGAAAATGGTAATTGATTAGTCGTTGTTTTGGTGTTTGCTAGGGACTTGGATGTAGAGGAGCGAGAAGTTGAATTGAACACATCTCTCATTAAAAACGAAAGCTTATGATGGCTATGGTGGCGGTTTCGAACTGGGTTTTCAAAGGTTCGAGTGGAGGACGAGAAGTTGACGATGATCGTGAAGGAGAGAAAATAAGCTAAGACCTTGATTAGTAAAGAATCAAAATGGAGGTTGGCCATGTGTTCTCAAAGGGGATAGCATATGAACATGAGAATCTCTAAATTGCTAGTTTTATAGGCAAATGGATTTAGATGGTAATGAATTGGTTTGGGTGGATCCCTTCCTTAGTGATTAACTAAAAATTGTTAGTGGATTTAGTGATCCATTCATAAATCATAATATTTCATTAAGTAAGATTAATGGAATAATTAACAATAGTTTGTAAAATAATAGAATATTTAATATTTAAAAGAGAATAGTTGACTGGGAATAATTAATTTATAAATAGCCTATCAAAAGTAAATAAATAAAATATTTATATACACAAGCATTTAATACTAAATTTTTATGCATTTAAATTTTATTATATTTTAGCAATAAACTACCCCTTAATAATCTAAAAATATTTTTCTTTATAGCTAAGGGCCCTTCAGTAATCCTGTGCATCACGCATTCATAAACTTGATCATTGATTTCAGAATCTGAGCCGTTAGATTTGAACGAAGCCGGGAATTAGCCCAGATCTGTTTGCCGCGCTCACCGTCTCCTTCAATCGGACTAGGGTTTATACTGCACTCAAATTTTCGCAATTTTGACGCTTTTTTTTTTTTCCATTTTCAGG